ATTTAAACTTTATTATATTGCTCTTTTATTTTCGAAAAAATTATGTGATTTTTTTTAACAAACTGTTTGTTATGGTTTGGATCTAGAAATGCCTCCCCCCAACTTATGTGATTGGTAATGTAGGAATGTTCTAAGGCAAAATGATCAGATTATGAGAGCTATAAACTCATCCATAAATTAACCCACTTGATTAATAATTTGAAAGGACTATTGAGTGTCAACTGCAGGCAGGTGGGCATGGATGTAGAAATTAAGTCTCTGGAGGCATGGTCTGGACAATATGTGTCCCTGGACCCTTCCTTTCTTTGCTTCCTGGCTGCCATAATTTGAGGGGCTAAGCCCGCCATGCCCTTTTCCATGATGTTCTGCCTCACCTCAGGCTCAGAGCAATGGAGTCAGCCATCCACACACTGAACCTCTCAAACCATGAGCCCCAAATAAACTTTTGCTTCCTCTTATTCTTGTTAGGTATTTTGACCACAGAAAGCTGACTCTTTAGGTTTATATTTATTATGTCTGCTAAGTCTCAATTTAATTTATACATTTTGACCAGGTTTGTTTTAATTCATTGCAAAATCATTAATACCTTCAATGAAATAATGCCTTTAAAAGCAGTAGCAGGCCAGGCATGGTGGCACATGCCTATAATCCCAGCAGCTCAGGAGGCTGAGGCAGGAAGATGGCAAATTCAAAGCCAGCCTCAGCAACTTAGCAAAGCCTTGTCTCAAAATAAAAAATTAAAAGGACTGGGAATGTGGCTCAGGTTAAGCAGCCTTGGGTTCAATCCTGGTACAAAAAAAAAAAAAAAAAAAAGAAAAGAAAGAAAGAAAGAAATAGCAGTCATTCTGCTTCTGCTTTCTTGTATAAATGAAAGTTTTCTGCACTGTTTTTACTATGTTAAAAATGAATATATTAAATCAATCTGTTCCCACATTTCAAATAAAGTTGTAAGTGCTCTTTGGAGAACAAATTAGTGGTTCAGCAATCCTTTGGAATGTGAAACCCAAGTGATTTCTCATCTGACTGTGAAACAAGGCAGAGACCAAAAGCATTTTATGTTCTTCATGATAATCTAGAATTTTATTTGATTCCAGGTAACTTTGGACAATAGACAGGATGAAATGTTTTCTCTTGAATAAATAACAGTTAAATTACATCAATGAAATAAAATATACTATGGGCTTAATACATTGTAAATATTACAGAAGTACTACTTTGCTATAGTTATTTAATGACTGAAGCTACATTTAATAACAATCTTACCATTACTTGTATACAAGGTATTATACAGATTACTAACGAAGATATTACAGCGGTTGCAAGGATATTACCAGTTCAACAAACATCTAACAATACAATATTCTTCTAAGAGGAAAAGTAATAATGTTAGATTTACAGACAATAAAGAGTTACATTTTCCACTTGAAACACTGGAAATAAGAATCCAGATATTCTGGTATCTTCATACTATTACAAGAAAAAGTTTTCTTTCTTGGGGACTCTGATCCCCAGGAGGCCTAGTCCAGTAAGATTACATGAAGAGAGCTTTTAGGATGCCACAGCAATGTAAAGAAACTCTCCTATCTGAAAAGTACTGATTTGTAAGCCACTGCTTAAACATCTGACCCTTTAAAACCTATATACATACATTCAGCCCAGAGTCTTTTGTCTATATTACAATAGGCATTGTTAACACTTCATCAGAAGGCCAGTGCAAGACGATTGTGAACAGCCGTTGCCCAGCATTTCGGAGATTTTAAAATATCATACAAATATACAGTTAGAGTGTGAGAAATCTAATTTTGTGCATGATACTGGTGGTCTCTTTTACAGATGTGGAATGGCAAAAATTAATCAACAGGACCTTAACTAGAGTGCTACTCATCGAGGGCCTGATTCTCATTTGGTGGTTGGGCCTCTTTCCTGCAAAGTGGGTTTAGGCAGCAAAAAAATCCTGGACATTTAATACCAGACAGAACTGACTGAAAGTGCCAGGGAAGTCTGGGAATCATCTCAATTGCAGGTATGTGACTGCAGCATCTCCCAGATCTAATTTCTTTTACATATATTTAATATGTAATGAAAAATTAGAGGTTCTTAGAGACAACCTGACTGTTCTAAATGAAACTGCTAGTCTAGGACTGAATCATCATCATTATTATGAAGAAATTGAGTGGGCTGGGAATTTGGCCCTTTCTGAAGACAAGATGACAGGATGCACGGTGAGGACAAATATGTCATCTTAGGGGGACAGTAGAGGACTCTGATGCCAGAGCTTATAAATACTTAAATTTAAACTGTATTTAAATTAATGGATATAATTAAGGGATCAGCTAATGAATGATACTAATGAATGGTAATTCTAATGAGTATATTCATTGGGGAGAACATCTTAGTCACTTGGGTTAGGAAATGATATGAGAAGTGTCAAAGTGAATCCAACTCATTTTAAACGTTTTTAAATGAAGGTAGTATAACACACACGTGATGATATTTCACAGATATTTCTTAAAATATCAATAAGCACCAAGTTTAGTGCTGTCAGCCCCATTGTCCCTTAATTTATTATATAGGATTTAGGTCTTAAAAGCACAACACACTAAAAAAATCTACATGGCATTCACACAAATACAGTTTCAAAAATGAATTCTGAATTTTTTTATATCTATGATAAGAATCTCCTCTCCACCAGGTCTTCATAGCTGTGAGAAAAGAGTTGGTACTGCCTGGTGAGCTCTAAGACATGCAGATTATTATTTAGAGTGATCCAGGACAAAAGACTGGAAATTCTTAAATGGAAACTAGACTCTGGTGAATCCTTTTATGTCAATCATTTTCTTTCTTTCTAAAGAGATCTTAATCCTCCAGCACCCTGAGCCCTTGCTTCATTTCACACAGAGGTAAAGTGAGGAAGCCAACAGGCAGATTCTAGCTAAATCCTAGCTTGGTCCATGGGCCCCATTCCATCTTGGAACATAAACTGCAAGAAGTGGAACCACCCCACCAGGCTGCTGGGGTATCATGAGAGCTAGAAATAACCAGATAGACACTAGGTCTTCACTTTCATGCAATGCAGGCCTCATGTTCTCTAGGAGCCATGCTTTATCTGTTTAAGGAGAGATGATAAGTAAAGTTTGTCAGGGTTAAGTGGCTTCTTAAGCAGTATCTTTCCTTACTGGAAAAGGGTTCAATTCTGAGCACCCATGGTACCATTAAGGAGTCTGAGATTGGGGCATCAGTAGAAAGCAAGCCAGCTTAGGCTTTAGCATATCTTGCCACCAGGAAGCAGAGGAAAAGGCTATTCCACATTGACTAACACCAAGGACATCTGGGCAAAGTAGAGAAATAGCATCCATGACCCAGGCCTCAGTCCCAGGTGTGGTGGCTCTTCACTGCCACTGTTGGATTCAGCCTCCCTAAGCCACATGACCTGGACCTGGCAGTGCTACTGTAGTGTGAGGTATACCATGCTGATGAAACTTGGGTCACACTACCTATACACAAACTAAAGGACGTTACTGTTTGGGGATTTTAGAACCATCTTACTTTTTAATGATCTATATCTCCATAACCTTGATAAATATTAGGTGCTCAGAAACCCAAACACTCTCATTTTCCCCATAGTAATACTGTAAATACAAACCTTTACTTGGGAACCTGTCATCGATTACTTCTTGTTATGAACTGGTCTCACATAATATCTAAAGGTCAATTTATTAATTCAATCTCTCTCTTAAGGAGGAGAATTTTCTCTGAATGATTTTCTCAGAATTTTTATCAGAAGATTTCTGGAAGAACTCAATTTTAGAAACTGAATTCATGTGCAAGAGTGCAGCAAGTGGTACAGTTTACACTTGGTCACAGTTGTCTCACTTTATGACACTGCTGTTAACAGTACAAGATAGAAACACACATACATATACACACATTTATATTCACATTCACACACAGTATAATTTTACTGATCCAGACAATACTTTGATTTTTAAAAAAAAAAGACTATTATTTGACCACCCAGGGATGGAATCTACTTACACTTGGAATAGAAGAATGCAATACTCTTCAAGTAAACAGCAACTGCACAGTGATACAATATACATTAAGATTGACACATGCTGTCTTAAGAGGTTCAGTAATTAGCTAACGACTAAAGAAAGTCAGAGATGTCAGCCTAAAAAAAGTCAATATGCTTTCTCTCTTCCATTCTGATTATAATCCATTACCCAACAGAACATCTACAATCCAGAAGATAAGTGTCCTCTTAGGAAAATGCAGGGCTAACCAATTTTTAAGTGTCAATGAATTCTGCTCAATACTTTGAACAGTCTTCAAATTCTTCTTGTTGTCTTAAGAGAAAAATAAACCTTTAGGTATCTCAGTGTCAAATTTAGATATTTCAAGAAATATTAAGGTTTCTAAAGTTAGATCATGGGCAATAATACTTTTGAAAAGTGGTCTCATTGGCATATATCCACTGCTGTGTTCCATTGTTCTCATAAAAGTCAACCTTTCGGTTTTGCTTAACTAGACAAATATACACAACACATAGGAAACACTGACACACAACTCACAGGACACAATACATTTTACAAAATATCTCTACTTTAGTACTATAACTGTTGTAAAAATTGACACCTCTGATACTATGAACAAATACACGTCACATTTATAATGAAAGTTGTGGTTACAAAGGCATTACTCATCTGATGGCATTTTTCTATGGGTACTTTAGACTTAAAATCATGTAGCCAAAGGTTTCCCTCCTATTTCGTTGAGACTTTGAAGGACCATTCAGTCACTTGAGCAACAGGCTTTCTTCACTGTAAACCCCTGGAGAACAGAGTCTGAGTACCTAAACTATTGAAATGTCAACGAACTGATAAATGAGCATGGTGACAATCACCTTTTCACTGAGCATGGTAAACTTAAAAAAATATAACCGATGAGACGACAGACTCTTCTAGGTTTTGAGCTTTAAAAAAAAAAAAATGAATTTCTTTTCCTGTGTTGCCAGAGAGGCATCAGGCTCACAGAGCCTCGGCGGACGTGTCTGTGGACACAGACATGGTCACCTTGGCGATCTTGACCGTGCTCTTGATGCAGCTTTCTGCAGCCCTGTGAACACTGGCTGTGTTGTTCGCATGCTTGTGCAGGCAGTCCGAGTCCCCCATGCTGTTATCCAGAGGCTGCGCAGTGCCTTCACATGAGGGGAACATGCTCCGGAAAGCATGTCTCAGGTCCTTGCTCCTCAGAGCATAGATGATGGGGTTCACGGTGGAGTTCAGCAGGCAGAGCATACTGCAGAAGGCAAACACCGTCTTAATGAGCTTGTTCATCTTTCCGAAGACATCGTACACCATGATCGCGAGCAGAGGGCCCCAGCAGATGATCAAAACCACCAGGATCAGGACCAGGGTCTTGGCCAGTCTAATGTCCATGCGGGCTTGGTCCGGCCGGGTCACCTGTACCTTGCCATCCTCTGACGTGTGGATGATGATGCTTTTCTGAGTTCCACGTTGAATCATGCGGACTGCGTGGCTGTGAGCTTTCCAGAGAATATACATGTATGCGTACACAATGAACAGCAGCAGCACGCTGGTGACCCCGATCCAGAACATCAGGTAGGTTTCATCAATCAGTGGGAAAATATCTGAGCAGACAGATTGCAGTTTCTTGCAGTTCCAACCCAGGAGAGGCAGCACAGCAATTACAATCGCGATGGTCCACATCAGGCAAAAGGCCACCACGGCTTTGGGCCTGGTGACGATTCTCTTATAGGCCAGGGGCCTGTGAATAGATATGTACCTGTCGATGGCCGTGAGGAACAGGCTGCCTACAGAGGCAGTGAAGGAGGCTGTGACCCCGCCCAGTTTGAAGAGAAACACGTTGGGGCTATCTTTGCGGTGGAACACGTGGAAGTCAACGAAGCTGTAGACGAAAATGACACTCCCCAGAAGGTCTGCCACTGCCAGGCTGCCAATGAAGTGATAGGAAGGCCTGCAGCGGAGGCTACGGGAGTGGAGGATGACACAGAGCACCAGCAGGTTCTCCAGAACCGTGAAGGTGCCCAGTGTGAGGGACAGCACGGCGATGGCCAGCTGTTGGCTGGGGTTCAGAATCATGAAGCACTCCATGTCCATGAAGTTCTCCCCACACTGGATATTCTCCTCATTCTCCTTGTAGGATGAGAGCGACTTGTTGTAGAATTCTGTAATGTTGTTTCCCGGGTCTACTGGGACTAACTGGGCGTTATCTCCTGCAGTCATCTTTTCTTGGAAGGGACTGCCCCTAAAAGAAGTTAAAGGAAATTTCTGTGGGAAGTACCCTAATTTGGATGCCATGTCGCCTTTGATGTCTTCGTACTGGATGTCATTCGAGCCCACGTAGAGGAGGTCTGTGGTGATGGTGCGGAAGGTGGTATCTGCAAGGCCATCTAGGATCGACTTCATAACCTCAGACTTCGGTTAGGCCAGACTCAAAGTGACTGGGAAAGAGATCGCAGGAGGGGATCCTAACAAGAGGGAAAACAGATAAACTGAATGGTGAGAAAACCAGGAAGAAAAATAAAAACATCACACACACACACACACACGTGCCATCATGACGTGTCATTGTGTCTCTGAATACAGGTCAAGTCCTTGTAGTTTCTGTCAACACAATGCACCAGTCATTCAGGGGAGAGCCTCCCCCAAAGCTAGGGGTGGAGTGGCACACATCAGAAACATCTTTTATTACTTAAACTGTCTGGATTGGAGTCACTGCACAAGTCCTGACTGGGCCTCCAGGATCAAGCAGGCCAAGGTAAATGAAATATTCCCTGGCTACAGTGTGCATTCCACAGGAAGTGTGTACCACTCTGCTTCTATGACCACATACAAAGCACCCCGTGCCAATGGGGCAGGGAGTTCACCCACATATGATACAATTGTGCGTCTGGGACACTACCTTGTCAGATGGGTGGGAATAAATATATAAGACAACCAAAGCAAAAAAAAAAAAAAATGCAGAATCAGGTGTTGAGTTGCAATCTGTGTGTTTCTGAAAAGGGAAAGGAGGGAAATGCTAAAACCAAGAGGCAGCTCCAGGCCATGGTGGGAAGATCTGCTCCACCAGGCAAGTTTCCTCCCCCAGAGAAGAGATGTTCTGGACTGAGCTGTAGCTGAGATGAACTTCTAAAATGTCTACAGCAGCCAAGAAGAATGTCACAATGCCTACTCTTGTACTGAAGCTGGTGGCAAACCAGACCTTGAACACCTGAGAAGGGTGAGGATGAAGCATGCCTCCTGAGAGCAATCTCTGCAAGTGGTCTGCTGACACAAGGGTCACAGGGGACTGGAACCAGGCCTAATGGAGTCCAAGACTTTCCAAGTAGACAGCTCTGGAAATAAGGACAACTAAGAGGAGGGGGCCACATTTTAAGGGCTCTTCCGTTTTAAGTTAAATAAATCGGTGTTTCAAAATTAAGAGCTAGAGAACTGATCTCACCATTTATATAAATGCTTGTTTAAAAAAATGGCTGTTCATCTCTCTAGTTTATGAAATCCATTAGAAGTATAGCATGGTATCTATACTAATTGAAATTATCCTAAGAGCCAGTACTCTGCTTATTAATTGCTACTTGTTACTTCTAAACACAACGCACTATGGAAGCTAACTCTCAAGTGTCCTTAGGGTCCCTGACAGCCTTTATCTTCGAATAAATTTAAAAGTTCTGGGTCTTCCTGATAAAATAACCTGCTTATTAGAATTAATAATTTATTATTGTATTATCCATTCAACAAACTATGGAGCACCCACTATGTGCCATGCACTGGATTAGACACTAGTGTCTTGACAGCTTCAAGGAGCCCATGGGAAGTGTACTGTCCAGCAGAGGAGATGGGCGGCTGCCCCAGTAATTAAGAGCAAGTGCAGTGTGAGCTACCCCTGGAGACTTCAGGATGCTGGGGAACATCCAATTCAGGGGGTTGAAGGTGGCTTCCCCAAGGAGAGAATGTTTATGCCAAGAATAGGTAGGAATAGTGTAGATGGGGAAAGGACACAGAATCAAAGAAAATATTTTAAAATTAATACCCTAAATGTCACAAATTTTTAAAAAGAAAAAGTGATTTGGATTAGACATAAAGTGAGAAATATGGCCCACCTTCCCACAGTCTGCCTTCTCAAGTCCAGGCCACAATCAGTGTGTGCCAGAATTAGGGCACCTGCACCCTAATCAGTTTTCCTGTCTTTCTCCGATCCTAGTCTCTTTGATCATTGCCATGCAGCTATTGGCCTGATCTTTAGAAATCACATGGATAATTATGTGACTTCCCTGTTTCAACTTCTCTGCCAGGGATGAAGTCATTGCAATAAAAAGCTTCCTGTGATCTAGCCCTGCCTGTCTCCCTAGCCCTCCCCTAAGCACCCCTAACCTCACCATGTAGCTGTACCAGATGGATTCTAGTTCCACAAACACATCAAATTGATTGCTTTTTAGCTCAATGCTCTGGTTCCTACTTATCCTAACACTCTTCTGCCCAAGCATTCTCTCTTTCTGCCTGTTCGTCTCCCCCACATCAGTTTGGTGTCACTACTTCCCCTAGCTCCTTGCTTCCCATGTTCAGATGAAATACCCTCTTTGGGGTTCCCAGAATAACCAAATAGAGTTCTGTCATAGCACTTACTAAATTTTTCAGTATTTCTGTGTTTGCATTTGCTCTGCTCCTTCCTCTAACTCACCAGAGAACAAGCTCATTGAGGACTTTGTTGGGGACATTACCTATTTTAGTATTTAACTCCCGACATTTAATATGCTGACTGGCACATAAAGGAGGCTCTAAATAAGTTGGTTGATTGGTGCTCTATTTGAATGCATTCAAATATAAATCTTGAATTTATTTATTTATTTACTTATTTGGGCCCTAATCCTCGATGGGTAACATTTTTCACTACTCAGGAAATGAGATTTTTCCCTTAGTCTGGGCTGATATACACTCAAATCAAGGCAGTGACCCAGGAGCAAAGGCTGGTTGCTGAAGCTATAGAAATATAGGATGCAGAAATAAGGCAAAACTGCAAATATATATTTGAATGCATTCAAATAGAGTAAAAAAAATGTTCTTTTCTATTCAAGATGGGAGAGGTATTCTTCTAATTGTGAAAAATAAATAAGCACATTATTTGAATCAAGGTTTCAAGCCCAAGGAGCTGCCTGATCCATTTGTGTTATAAAAACACTATACTTAGGTGATGTTAACAGCATTCTAAATGATGCGGCCTATGTGATTACATAGTCTACATACTCAAGAAGGAGCTACATGACAGGCACTATGGGAGGGGCAAGGTAAACAAGAACACTGGCACTGTTCCACCAAATGGTAAACAAAGCAAGAGCCCCCAGCACTCATATGACAGGTAAGCCAAAGGGCTCACTTCAGCCCTCCAAGACTGCCCAACCACGGTATGGAGGCAACTGACAAACCAAGGGCCCTAATCCTCCATGGGTAACTTTTGTCAATAGTCAGGGAAATTAGATTTTCCCCTTAATCTGGGCTTTCAAGCCAGTTCTGCACACTGTTCTGCACTGACATAGAACAAGGCACTTGGGAACAGTCGGCTGCTTTTTCAGAGACAGGAGTTCCAGGATACAAACAACACAGAGGCACCTAATGTGGTTAGGGTGCTAAGCCCACCCAAAATCAGGGCAGTGGCCTAGGAGCAAAGGCTGGTTGCTGAAGTTACAGAAATACAGGATGCAGAAATAAGGCCAAATCCCAACAGTCAACCTGGTTGTCCAGAGCTTTACGGTTCTTTTTCCTAAAGACTCTCCTGAGCCCCAACCTCAGCCTGGCTCCAATTAACTCTCAGTGTCCTTAGGGTCCCTGTCATCTCCTTTCCCACCTCTTCATCTCTTCAAGAACATGTCCTATGTGTGCCACTATTGGACTGTTTCTCAGGAGTCAACTCATGCTATTTGCAAACTTGTTTGCTAAACTATTCCACTCACACGTGAAAGCTTTCGTCCATAATCAAGGAGACACAGAAGATAGTCATGGTGTATGAGAGCTGTTCCTTACATGGTCACACAAAAACATCTTGAGCTCACACAAAAACATACAATTTCCTGATCCTGGAAGATGACATTCTGCTCTCTGAATAGACCATTACACCTGCCACCTTCCTTCTTCCTCTTCCCTTCCCTCTGCCTGAACACTCATTTCCAAGATCCTTGCTTATTAAATTGATCTTGTAATGATTGCACCAAATTGTGCCAATGCTACTTCATGTCTGAGACTTTCTTGACCAGCCCTTGCCACCAGGCACAACTTGAACCCCTAGTTTATCCCTCTTGTCATAGGCCTCTTCATTTAAATGTGTATTTACATATTTATTTTCATAACTAGAATTCAGTTCCAAACACAGAATGTTGTCTTTCTACCTTTAGGTGATTTACCAGCCTGAGAGCAGGAGGAGAGAGCGGGGCACCCATGGAAATGCTCACCAGAACCTAGTAAGATGGCAGTTGATTGGACATTTAAAACAGTGATTTAATACTATTTCTTTGCCTTTCTTAAAATTTGAGAACAGAAAGATAACTCAATGGACATTTGGCCTAAAAAGCAAAACTGGAGCTTACATTTCCAAATAGTTTCTGGGCACATAGTCCATGGCCTCTGTCCTTAAGACATTTTCCCTCAAGTGACAAACTCCCCAATACTTTCACTTAAAATCTAATTTTAAAATTTATATGTATATATAAAAAATATGTATGTGTAGGTATATATATGACTTACCAGATTCAAATTCAAAAGTTACAGAAAAAATACTCAGTGAAAAGTCAATTCTTTTTACCATACACATTCAAGCGATATATATATATATATATTTGTACCCTCTATACTCCCTTTTAAGAAAATAGTAACATACTACACATACTGTTTCAAACCTTGCTCTTCATTGAAGGCATATTAAATCTGGGAAGGTGGGGTATGGTGGTGCACACCTGTAACCCCAGCTACTCAAGAGGCTGAGGTAGGAGGATCACAAGTTTGAGGCCAGCCTGGGTAGTTTAGTAAGACTCTGTCTCAAAATAAAATGGGCTGGGGGTATAGTAAAGAAAAAAAAGTATGCATTGAGATAGTCCACATTAACAAATAAAACCTCCCTTTTGATTTAACACCTGCTCTATTAAGGTCTGTTAGATGAACGTGCCTCACCTCCTACAAAAGGGATGTTTTGGATATTTGTCATCTTTTGTTAATACAAATAATGCTGCAACATTTTCATTTTCCACATTTCTTTTGGTATTGCAAGTAATCTTTTTACTACCTAAACTCTCACCTTGGACTTACTGTAAAACCTCCTCCTCCCTCTCTTCTACAGTCAGGTATATCACTTAACTCTTGCTGATTTCCCCCCTTTGTTCACATAAAGGGGGCTTATTACAGGAAGGTGGCACTCTGAGCCTTTTATATATCAACTCACTTATTCATGGCCCTATAAGGCAGATGCTGTTATTATCCCCGTTTT